GAAGAAGAAGAAGAAGAAGAAGAAGAAGAAGAAGAAGAAGAAGAAGAAGAAGAAGAAGAAGAAGAAGAAGAAGAAAGAAGAAAGAAGAAAGAAGAAGAAAGAAGATGATCAGCACTCTGGAAGCACAGGAAGATGGATCTCTGTGAGATCAAGGCCAGCCTGATGTAGATAGTGAATTCGAAGACAGCCAGAGCTACATAGTGTGAGACCCTGTCTCAAACAAACAAACAAGAATGGTCAGAGCTGTTTGTGAGGTCTGGGCCTGCAGTCCCAGCCGGGGGCAGCAGGAGGATACCATCGGGTAAACTGTACTCTGCAGTTTCTGTTTAACGGTGTTGGTGTATTTGCAGCCGGTGGGGCTTTCACCACGGTGTGACTGCAGCACTTTTCACAGCGCTGTGGTACTTACCTGCCCTCGGCACTTTGCTTTTCCACCCAGATTCACCCACTGTAGACAGAGGCCCACACTGCAGGGCCGCCACCATCCTGTGTAGCGCAGGCTGGCCTAGAACTATAGTGTAGCTGGGATTTTAGGCCTGCATTGCACACTGGTGGCCATGCTAGCCATGCTCACTATTTCTGGCTGTACCGCATCTTTCTCACTCCTTACTTGATGCAAGTTTGAGTTCTTTCCAGACATGGTTCCTGAAAAATGAGCAACTGCCCCCATCCCACCCCTACCCCGACCCTCAGGCAGCAGTCATGTGGAATGACAGTGACGGGTTCAAGTCCTGTGCCGGGGAGGTCCAGTACTGTCACTGCTTTTACCTGTCGCCTCCCCTTAGACAGCTCCCTGAGGCCCAGACCAAGTCTTATTCCAGCACATGGTAGGTGCCCCATAGTGTGCATTGGATGAGTGAGGGGCAGACTGAACACAACTGGGGCTGCTTGTGTCACCTGCCTACTGGTTTCAGAGCCTCGGTAAGCCCATGCGTGAGCTGGCTACAGCCTCATCCTCAGTCTCTGCCTCACTGCCTTCTCTCTCTGTGCCCTGACATCCCAGCCTCTTCCTTTTGTCGAGAGGACCCTCACTCCCTCAGGCCACTTGTGAGCCACATTTTGTCCACCCTGCTCTGCCTCTTGGTGGGCCTTCCTGAGCGCCCAGTGCAAATCCTTCACTTCTTGGTCCTCACAGCTATGCAGTATTTTCTGTCTTCCTAGTCACTGTTTAGGAGCCTTGTGTGGTCCGCCTGTCCCTAAGTCGTCAGCTCCTAAGCTGAATAGGAGATCAAGCTGCAGTCACTGTTCTGTACAGAGCCTGTGGTGTGGTTTGGCTGGCCTCTGGCTGCTGCCCGAGTGGGCATTGTGAAGGTAATGAATTTAGCAGTGCCCTGGAGGCTGGCTTTCTTCTCATAGTACTAGGGTAGCTTGAAAAAGAGCCAAGCCAGGCCTGTTTGGTCAGGCCTGTCATCCCGTCATAACATGAAGGCCAGCCCAGGATGGATAAAGTATGTTCCAGGAGAACCTGGGCTTCATAGTACCATATCTAACATGGAAAGTAAAAAGAGGGCTGGGGTTGTGGCTCAGTGAGATCGTGCCTAACATGCATGAAGCCCTGTGCTCTGTCCCCAGTAGCACACACAAAAACAAAACCCACAGTTTTCATGAGCCCTTGCTGTGGTCTACACACTACCCTGGCTTCACATGACAGCTCTGTGACACCTTCGACAGCCTCATGGGTAAAAGCTGTGATCTCCCCTTGCTTGCATGGAAACTGAGGCACAGAGTTAAAGCACTTACCCTGCATCCTAATATCTGACTGCCATTCCCACCATAGACATCGCCATCTTGGCCCTCTTGCCTCAGTTCCCCAGCTCATGAGTGAGGTGGCTAGATCCTGAACCTGTATTCCCAGTGTTAGATGCTGTCTGCCCAGTTACCAGGGGCTAGGAAGTTTACCTGGCCCCTTGGTGACACATGTTTGTCACCCCAACCACAGCCTGTGAGCTCCTCTGACAGCGAGGCCCCCGAAGCTGACCTAGGTGGTGGCAGTGATGGGGACAAGGATGAAGAGGCCCGGGGGGTCATGACCGTGACAGCTGTGACCACCACAGCCACCAGTGACAGGATGGAGAGCGACTCTGACTCTGATAAGAGCAGTGACCACAGTGGCCTGAAGAGGAAGACGCCAGTCCTGAAGGTAGTGTAAAGTGGGTGGTCACTCCAGGCCTGTCCCCTTGTGGCCCTTCGCCTTCTCCTGCCCCTCTCAGTAGGCATTGTTTTTGTTGTTTTGTTTGAGACAGGGTCTCCCTGTATAATAGCCCAGTCAGGCCTGAAACTTGTACTCATTTTTTACAAGAACTGAGATAAAATTCAGATTTCAGATACCTTGATTGATTCTCTTAGAGGGTGGGGTGTGGCTCTCATTGATGTTTTTAATCTGTGTGTGTGATAGGTGCATGTTTCTGTTCCTGTGTATAGAGGCAAGAGGTTGACAACAGGCCCCTTCCTCAATTTCTCTTATTTGTCTTGTATTTTGAGACAGTCTCTCCCTGCACTTGGGAGCTCACCAGTTCCACTAGGCGCTAGCAAGCCTGGAGACCTTGTCTCTGCCTCCCCAGATCTGGATTACAGATGTGGGTTTGCTTTTTTGTTTTTCCTGTTTTATTTTCTGCATATGGGTGTTTTACCTGCATGTATGTCTGCACACCTCATTTGTGTCTGATGCCCAAAGCAAGAGACATTGTTGGATCTCCTGGGATAGAGTTGTGAATGTTTATTTTGTTTGTTTGAGACAGTGTCTCGGGCTGGAGAGATGGCTCAGCCATTAAAGGCTAGGCTCACAACCAAAAATATAAGAGACAGTGTCTCACTGTGTACCCTGGCTGTCCTGGAACTTACTATGTAGACTAGACTGGCCTCGAACCTAGAGATCTACCTGCCTCTGCCCCAGGTGCTGGGATTGAAGGTGGCGCCACCACTCCTGGCTTGTAGTTACTGGTGGTTGTAAGCAGCCTTGTGCATGCTGGGAACCAAGCCTAGATCCTTTTTTTGTTTTTGTTTTTGTTTTTTGAGACAGGGTTTCTCTGTGTAGGGAACTCCCTCTGTAGCTCAGGCTGGCCTCAAACTCACAGAGATCCACCTGCCTCTGCCTCCCAAGTGCTGGGATTAAAGGCATGTACCACCGCCGCCCGGCTGCCAGTGATCTTAAATGCCAAGCCATCTCTCAAGCCACAACCCCCCCCCTTTTGTTTCTTTTTTTTTTCAATTTATTTATTTATTTATTATGTATACAGTGTTCTGCCTGCATGTATGATTGCATGCCAGAAGAGGGCGCCAGATCTCATTACAGATGGTTGTGAGCCACCATGTGGTTGCTGGGTATTGAACTCAGGACCTCTGGAAGAACAGCCAGTGCTCTTAGCCTCTGAACCATCTCTCCAGCCCACCTTTTTAAAGTCTATTTTTCATCATGTCTATGATTTGGGCCTTGGGGGAGGGTGTACATTCATGCAGGTGCTTGTGAAGACCAGAGGTGTCAAATCCCTAGGGCTGGATTACAGATGGTTGTGAGCCTCCAAGTGGGCGCTGGGGACCAAGCTTGGGGCCTCTGTGAGAGCAGCCAGTGCTCTATCCATGGAGCTGCTGCTCCAGCCACACATGGGCTTTTCTACGTGGGTGCAAGGGATGGGTCTCAGGTCCTCGGGCTTGCACAGTGGGTACTCTTACTGCTGAACTGTCATCCCTGTGCTTTACATACTGTTTGTCCATGTCAGTGGACGCCGCCTCTTGGCCGCAGTGAGCTGCACTGCCTCCTCTACAGTTCCTGCTGAGGGTCTGCTCTCTCCCCCACCCCCCACCGTGTGTGTGTGTGTGTGTGTGTGTGTGTGTGTGTGTGTGTGTGTGTGTGAGAGAGAGAGAGAGAG